ACCCTAATCAATGAAAATTACATATTCTTTCTACGTAGGAAGGTGAAATTACTTGTTCAGGACTCACAGAGCTGGGCCTCAAACTTATCTCTCATGTAACTCCATGGTTAGATGTGTATTGGCTTTCAATCAACTGGAAATTCTATGAGAGCTGCTAGAAAATCTGCAGTGACTCACTGTCATTTGGGTACTTAACTTGTCATGATTTTCTCTGTTCCAGGCCCATTCTATCTGTGTTTCTTTGTTCACTGAAGTCAGCCCCCAAACTGCAGAGGCAAGCGCATTACTAGCCAAGGCTTATGCCATGTCTGGAGAGGCCCAACATATAGGTAGGTAATAGAGGTGACTGTGAAGTTATCATAATTTCCCAGTCATGGGAGAGAAGCACATTGGATAATGGTCTATCAATATGACGGAAAGCCTGATGGAAAGATGAGACTAGACACCATTTCATATAAAATCATTTACACGTGAATTTAAGCACAATAATATCATCCTAAGTTTGTTGGACTATCAAAGCCAATAAGATCATGATTTCCTTAGAATCTCAGCAAAAGTCACCTGCATAAAGATCATACACGCTATGAATGTGACCTGTGATGTGCCTGTTAATGAGGAAGTCCAGTGACAGAAGAGAAAAACATTGGCTCCTCCTTTCTTCCTCTTCCACTCTCAACCTCTCCTTGATCTTTTCCTCTAGCTTACAAGAGAATATTTTAGCAGCTATGTTTTTCTTGACCTATATTCAGAAGTGAGATACCGAGGGTTCTAGAGGAAAGCCAAGTGATGAATTCATACTTCAGCAGTAGTCCTTTTGCAGGCAAGGTCATCCTTTTGAAAATGAAATTTGTCTTAGGAGAGACAAAGAAACTGGTGAGGGAGGACGGTGTCCCATGCTCAGCTGGCTTGATCAGATTAATGGACACTAGTGAATTTGGTGGCCCAACAGGAGGCATTCGGGATTTGTGAAGAATGTAATTTAAACATTTTTTAAAAGTTGATTTTCCTTTGCTTATAAAAGTAATCCATTTTGATGTACATTATTTTTCAGTCATATATGAGAAAGAGAGAGAGGGAGAGAACAAACAAGAATTACAGGGAAAGTATTGCATCCCACTTTTTCCCACTCTTGCATATCCCCATGCCATTAAATAAACTTTTTTTTCAGTTTTCAGAAGTTATTTTATGTTTTGATTATTGTTTTCTTTAGCATAAATGTTCACCGAAGACTCCTGATTGTTTTTTCTAGCTAATCATCTTGTGTATGCTCATAGTATTTGTAGTCCATCTATATGTATTTGAGTTTTCAAAAGTAATTTTCATAGTTCTAACAAATTTAAATATGTAAATATGTAAATTTTTTTTTAAGTGAGAAAAAGTTTTTGCTTATTGAGTTGGGAAATTCCGAGGCTACTTTGTTCTCTTCTTGCATACTAATTTTTAACTTTAAAAAGGATCTGGATCTTCATCTCATGTTATTCACTAAATTCCAGATGGATTAACATTTTTTAAAATAAATTCATTTATGTAAATTAGTTTCAAGTATATAGTACATTGGTTAGACGTCTATATTGTTCATAAAACGATCCCCCCAATTGCTCCTTCCCCGCCCCGGCCCTCCCCTTAGCCATCATATTAATGCTAACTGCATTCCCTGTGCCATGTTCCCCATCCTGGGTTAACATTTTTAATATTAAAACTGAAAAATATAAATTAAGCACAAGAAAAATACAGTATTTGAATAGTACTATAATTAAAAATTAGAGAAAAGAACACTCTGAGCACACAAAAGTATACCAGAAAAGGAGATATTGATGGATTTAATTATAAAATGATCGAAAATTTATGTCTGCCACAAAATAGCATAAATAAAATAAAAAACAACTCGGCCAAGATGAACTGATAACCTAAGGCCCTTAATTATTTCAAGAAAAAATTAAAAAAGAATTTGCAGTTAACCTTCTGAGAAAGAAATCTCCAAGCCCACATGATTTCACTGGGTGATTCTACCTCACATTTAAAAAAGGAATAACATCCATCCTGCATATTCTTTTCTAGAAAGTTGAAGAGAGGGAACATTTCCGAATTCATTTTATGAAGCCAGCATTACCCTGATACCAAAACCAGGCAAAGACATTACAAGAAAATAACAAAACAAACAAAAACTACTACAGATCAGTACCTTTCACGTGCAACATAGTTCTGGAAGTCCGAGCCAGTGCAATAGGCAAGAAAAGGACATATGGCTTAAAGAAGTAACACAGTCTCTATTTGCAGACACATGACTGCCAAAAATTCCAAGGACACTACAAACTTCTAGAACTTGCAAGTGAGTTTAAGCTTGGCAAGGCCACAGGATACAAGGTCAACACACAAAACCAGTAATATTTCTATATATTAACAATGCACAACTGGAAACCAAAAGTGTTTTAAAGTACCACTTAAAATAGCCCCTTTTCCCAAATGAAACGCTTAGGTTTAAAATCTAACAAAATATATAGAAAATCTGTGTGTCGAAAACTACAAAACCTTGATCAGAGACATCAGAGATGACCTAAATAAATGGAGACATGCTATGTTCATGTATTGGAAGATTCAGAATAGTAAAGTTGTCAATTCTTCCAAAATCAATCTAAGAATTTAACACAATTACAGTAAAAATCCCAGCAAAAAAAAATGTTTGTAAATATAGAAAAGCCGACTCTAAAACTTATGTTGAAAAGCAAAACAATTTTGAAAAATAAGACAGTTGGAGGAATCATACTGCTCGATTTTCAGATTTACCAAAAAGCAACATTAATAAAGAGAGTTTGGTACTGGTGAAAGGATAGACAGAGATCAGTCATTGGAGTACAATAGAGAGTCTAGAAATAGACCCGTATAAATATGGCCAATAAATTTTTGACAAAAGTACAAAAGCAGTTCAATGTGGAAAGAATAGTCTTTTCAAAAAATATATTAGAACAATTGGTATCCACATGCCAGAACAAAATAAAAACACTCATACCATACACAATATTAATTTACAGTGGATCATTGTCCTAAATGTAAGAGCTAAGATTTACATTTACTTTATGATAGAAAAATAGGGGCGGGGGGGAAAAGACCAAGCATTACATAGAGGATACAAATGGCCAATAATCATATAGAAAAACGTTTTATTCATAGCAATGATAATCAAATATAAAACAACAAAAATACCAATTTTTTTCTATCAAATTGTTAAAATTTCAAAAAATGATAACATTTAAGATTAATGAGACCAATTTCATATGAACTCTCTGAAGGGCAATTTGGCAGGATGTCACACATCCTGAAACTATAAACTATATGTGTGTGTGTGTGTGTGTGTGTGTGTGTGTGTGTGTATAAAAACTATACATATATATAGTTATCTTTAAAATTACAATAGGATCAAGTTTTCACCCATCTGAAAATAGCGTTTGCCGGACTGTGGGTAAACTGGTCTGATTTGCTCATCCATAGCTGGTGGGAGTGATAATGTAAATTGATATGAAATTTGGAGACCAATTTGGTAATATCTAGTGAAATTGAAATGAAAACATATATAAGGATGTTCACTGTAACACTGTAATTGTGAAAAATTGGAAAAAATCTAAATGTTCACCATCAGCCTTCTGGCTGTGGCTTTATAAAGAGGTTGGTATTGGTGAATCCTCTCAATACACACATACACGCACAAACAATAAAATGGTTCAAAATATTTGAGGACACTGGAAATAGATAAACAGACAAACAAATTACAAATCATTCTCAGAAAACTGTTAGAGCTTTGGGTAAAGAGTGAGTCTTTTGGGCCTTCTTGCCTGGCACTGCTCCTATCCATCCACTGCCCCACGTTGGTTCATGAGAGTAGCAGTTTTATCAGCATGAGAGTAGCCGAAAGAACCAAGAGCAGCTTTGCCATCAGAGGAGGCTGACTCAATTTGGAGCAAGGGGCGAAAATCCACGGATTTATCACAGAAAAGTAGCAAACTAAATAGAAAATGGATTGGGGAAAGCCTGCATATTTGCTAGCCTGAAGTTGATCTCCTGGTCAGTGTGAGTCTCAGGACAGTCAGAAATTTTAACCAGTAGAAACTGAAAATGAGAGAGCGATAGAAGGACTAGATAAGCTCTCCTAGTATACCTGGTCAGCTGGGAAACTACACACTCATGCAGGTGATGACTGGAGAGTCCAGTGGAAAGTAACAACCAAAGGAGACTTGAAATGTGGCAGAGCTTTGAATGCACTCCTTGATCTGCATATAGAGCAATCAACAAAGGACGAAAGACATATAATCTCGAGGTATTGGAGCATAACCTCTTTCCATGCCAGTGTGCCAACACTAAGCTATGCAGACACAGAGATCACCCCCAGGAATCCAGACCAAAAATAAAAATAAGCATTAAAACCCAAGCAAAGACTCTCAGGTTCTGGTCCGGCACGTGGGAGCTTGGAAGTTGCCACGCCATCCTAACAAGGAGTAAAAAGCTAAGCAACCGCAAAATCAACAACTCTTCTTAGATCTGTCAGAGAAGTGAGGTCACAGGGCAAGCTGATGCCCCTGAAATTGGAGGGGCAGGTGAATACAAAGAATCACATTTTGCAGAGCAGATATTCATCTCTGCAGGAACTAGTACTGGTGGAGGAAAACCTGAACTAGAATCAATAAATTTCTGGAGGCTCATTGTGGACAAGTCTGAGAGTTAAAAATTCCCAAGGTACCCAGTCATGGGGGGCTCCCACACTTTTGTGAGCTTAACCTCCAGGAGCTTGACCAGGTTCTCCAGACCCTAACATTTGGGGTTCTTTCAAAGCCTGACTTTTCAATCAGGTGGGGACCACAGTAAGATGAGGAAATTCCATGAGCTTAGTTCCTTGATCTGAAGCAATTCTGTGTGGAATGCCATAATGGTGGATAAGGTATTCTGTAAGTTCACAGATGGTACTTTTGGCAGAAGCATTGCATGCATGGAAGGCAAATCTGTATCCAGAGTAGGTATCTATTCCAGTTAGGACAAAACACTGCCCCTTTTATGATGAAGTGGTCCAATGTAGTCGACCTGCTACCAAGTGGATAGCTGATCACTTAGGGAATGGTGCCATATCAGCTCAGTGGTGGTCTCTGCTGCTGACAGATTAGACACTCAGTGGCCATAACCAGGGTGATGTTGGTAAGTGGAAGTCCATGTTGTTGAGCCCACTCCTGGTACCAAAATCTGTATTAGTCAGGATTCTCCAGAGAAACATAACCAATAGAATAAGGTAGGTGGATAATGAATGGACAGATGGACGGATGGATGGATGGATAGATACAAGGAAGATTTATGGCAGAAATTAGCTCACATGGTTATGGAATATTAAAAGTACCACATGGTCTGCTATCTGCAAGCTGAAGAACCAAGAAAGCTGGTAGTATAATTTAGTCCTAGTCCAAAGGCCTATGAACCAGATGAGGGGGCCGCTGGTGTATAAGTGTTGGAGTCCAAAGGCTCAAAAACCAGGAGCTCCAAAGTCTGAGGGCAGGAGAAGCTGGATGTCCCAACTCAAGAAGAGAGAGAGAGGGAACTCACTTTTCCTTCACCTCTTTTGGGGTTCTATTCAGGCCCTCATCGGATTGGATGACTCATGCTCATATTGGTGAGTGTGGATCCTCTTTGCTCAGTATACTGATTCAAACGCTAATCTCTTCCAGAAACACCTTCACAGACACACCCAGAAATTATGTTATTTCAGTTATCTAGGCATCCCTTAGCCCCATCAAGTTGACATATAAAATTAACCATCACAAGTACATTGATGGGGGCAAAGTTGGGTGGGAAATCTCTGTATCTTCCATTCAATTTTGCCGTGAATATAAAAGTGCTCTAAAAAATAGTCTATTTAAAAAACAAAAACCGACACTGGAGCAAAGAGATTAACATCTGTACACTATGGGGAAGACAGAATCTATAGTTTAAGTCTAGGTAATTTACTAAAAATAAAACAACCTCCCCAAACCCGCAAAAATATATATCCGAATCTGTGGTTGCTCCTATGTATTATTTAAAATGTATAGTTTTCAACAAAAAAGAAACAAGAATACAAAAAAAAAAAAAAAAAAAGATACCATGGCTCATACTCAGAAAAAGAACAGTCAAATAAATTGACTGTAAGTGGGCTAAATGTTGGATTTTGTAAAGACTTCAAAGCAGCTGTCATAGTAGGTTCAAAAAATTACATAAGGAAACTGTTCAAAAGATTAAAAGAAAATTTGATGAAAATTATATAGCAAATAGAAAACCGGCCAAATGGAAATTCTAGAGCTGTAAAATGTAGTAACTGAATGAAAAATTTATTAATGGTCTCAACATCAGATTTGAGATTGCAGAAAAGAGAATGAGATAGCTCAAAGGTAAATCACTAGAAACGACCCAAGCCAAAGAACAAAAAGAAAAGATAATGAAAAAAAATGAACAGCGTATGAGAGATCTGTTGGATGACAGCAGGTATACCAACACTCATGCAACGGGAGCTCCAGAAGGAGAGGAAGCAGACGAGGCAAAAAATTATCTGAAGAAATAATGTCCCCAAACTTCCCAAATTTGATGAAAATGTTTTGTGCAGATCCAAAAGTCTCAATGCCAAGTAAGTTAAGCACAAAGAGAACCACAACCAAACATGTAGTCAAACTGCTGAATGCCAAAGAGAAAATCTTAAAAGCAGCAGTGGAAAAACAACTCCGCAGGGGAGCAACAATAAAATTAATGGCTGATTTTTCATCAGAATAATGGAGGTTAGAAGGTAGTATAATATATTAAAAATACTACAATAAAACTCAACTAAGAATTGTATATCCAGAAAAACTATCCTTCAAAAATGAAGGTAAGATAAAGACATTTTCTAATAGATAAAAACAGGATCTGTAGTAGCAGTCTTGCCCTAAAAGAAAAAATATAGGAAGCCTCTAGGCAAAAGAAAATGACAGCAAAAATGACTTTTTATATATGCATATTATCTTCTCAATTAAATTGTAAGTTCTTTAAGAACATGGATTGTATATTGTGCTTGTTTATATCCCCCTAAGTAGCTAGATTTATAGACATAACATATGTATACATATATACATATGTGTATGTCTATATATACATATATACATATGTGTATGTATATATACATACATATATACCCATACATACACACGTACACACATACTAATATTCATTGAAGTGAATGTGTAAACAAAATGTGACATATCCATATAATCAAAAACTACTCAGCAATAAAAAGCAGTGAAGTAGTAAAACATGCAGCAACATGGATGAACCTTAGAAATAGTATGTTCTGTGAAAGAATCCAGCCTCAAAAGAGTACATATTGTGTGAAACCATTTATGTGAAATTTCTAGCAAAGATAAATGTGTAGAGATAGATCAGTGATCGTCTATGACAGGATGAGAGCCAGTGTTGACTGCAACCAGCCATGAAGAAACAACTGTGTGAATGTGCTAAAAATTTATCAGACTGTACAATTACGATGGGCGAATGTGTGGCATATAAATTATACCTTAAAACAGTGATAAAAAAAATGTTAACAGTGCCTGTTCCTGAGTGATGTGTATAGAGATAATTGTCTTTTTTTCCCTTCTCTATATTTTCTATGTTGATTACGTAAATATATTTTGAATAAAAAACAAAATTAAAAGTAAATTTTTAAACAGTAACAATTGTATATTTAAAGTACTTTTAAAACCAAAAACTATTCTTCTCCCTCCCTCCCTTTCTTTCTCTCTCTGTCTCTCTCTCTTCCTCTTCACACACACACACACACACACACACACACACACACACACACACCCCTAAACAGGAACTCCAATATACAGCAATCTCTATCAGACTTTAATTTAGCTACAAATATAATCTTGCATTGCGCCCTGGGTTTAATATGGTGGTTATTTTGGGTCTTAGACTAAGGCTGTTCAGATATGAGCTTTCTTTTCCTAAAGAAATCCATGCATTTCATCAAAAAATAAAATAAGAACATAATCTGATGCCATCAAACCATATATCAGACTTGTCAACGCCTTTATGAGACATAGAATGAGGACAAGCATGGACCTTAAGCATGAAAATGTCTAATTAACTGAGCCAGAGCTGACTCTTGCTCAAGTAGACACTTGTAAAGGCTAGCACTTTGCCTCAAATAATTGTTTCACTTTTTTTTTGCAGATGTTGCTGAGATGTATTTTATAAAAAGTATCAGTGCATACCAAACAACATTGGGCCCAGAGAATTGTGAAACACTGATGACCATTGGAGAATTTTACAAATGGCTTATCCATAAAGGGGAAAAAGAGGTAAGTATAATCAACTCATAAACACAATTCCTAGTTTGTTTGTTAGATTGGGACAGCCTTTTTTATCTCACAGTTCAGAAACTGGAGCTCAGAGAAGTCCCAGGTAAAGCCAGGAATAAAAATAAGGATGGTGCTAATTACTTTAAGTATTTTTCTTGTATATTAATACATAAGGTCCTTCAAATCCAGGACCCCCATAATCTCTGGCCCTGTAAATTTAATATTTTACGTCAAAATTGGCTTTCACCTTTGGATCTAGCTGCTAGTATTTTTCTCTTGATATATTATTACCCTCTCAGTTTCTGGTTTTCAGCTCTTTATTAGCCCAAAGTTTGTTTTCATGTTAAAAAATAAAGTTGTACAAAATGCTTTTGATTTCCGACCTTTTGCCTTAGAAGTCCCATGAATCTAGTCTATTACTCATATTCTTTTGACCTGAACTTTATATGTTGAGTACAGCATGAATGCAGTGAAGACCTTTATTTGTCATGAGATCTCATATGACTATGATCTGACAAAGCGAACTCTGTATTTCCTCAGGCAACTGAGAAACATGTATGGATCTGGCATGCTCTCGTGGCCATGTGACCAATTTAAGAGCAGGCCATGTGACCACCAATTTAAGAGCAGGGTTACAGTATAAATAAGATTTTCTCCAGGAATGATGAAAAGGCTTCCTTTATTTCATACATGAAGATTTTTATAAATGATGACATTTTCTTTAGTTCTCTTATAATTGCCACTTGTAAAGGCAAGAACTTAGCTGGAGTTTGCAACGTTTTTTTACTGTGGCCATATTTTTTGTTGTTTAAAAGATTAGCATGAGATCTCAATGCCACAGATTGATCTAATATTCTAATTTTATTTTCAAAGATGTGCAAGTACTTTGTTAGAGCCTCATAGCTTATTCTTGTTTTATTCTAGTACAATAAACATCATGACTTTGTGATAAAACATCAGTACCAATGCCCGATGGCCTTCTGCTTCTAACCAAGTGCACCATGCTCTTGGTCAGAGAGGTGATCAGATCTGAGTGTCACGTGGTTCTGAATCTAAACCATAGGCAGGAGTATGAACAGGCCACCTTTGCTATTGGAAAACAAGCTCCATGAGGCCAAGGTTTTTGGTCTGTTTTGTTCACTACACTTTCCCAAGTGCCTGAAACAATAACTGGCACAGAGTAAGAGCTTAATAACTATTGAATCAATTTGCTGAATTTTATAACACATTTCCTGTGGGAAGATTCATTTTTAAAAGGATCCTTTTCTCTTTCACTCAAGCCTGAAGTGAGGCTCCAGGCCTTTTCTAGAGTACCGTAACAGAAACCCAGAAGACTTGAGAATTGTGTTCCCATGGAATATAATTTTTTTTTTAAAATAGAGGTTTAATTTGCCACTGATAAAAAATAAACAGGATCCACTGACCAGAACTGTCATCTTCCAGTAGCTCCTTAAAATGACAAACACAAAAGGAAAGAGAAGAGGCACTTGCTATATGTTCTCTAGGCCTTTTAGAAAACATGGAGTTATTTATTTGACCACATATATGGGAATCTGTAAGAGAGGTGGTATTATACACACAGTAAGGGTCCTGGTGGGCATTGTTCAAAAAGAAATGCCCTGCAAATGTTACCCAGTGTGAGGTTGGCATTGTTGTAAACAAACAGGGCAAGATTCTTGCCAAGAGAATTCATGTATATATTGGACATACTAAGCAATCTAAGATCTGAGATCAATTCCTGAAATGCATGAAGGAAAATAATCAGAATAAGAAGGAAGCCAAAGAGAAAGGTAGTTGAGTTCAACTAAAGAGCCAGCCTCCTCTACCCGCAGAAGCACACTTTGTGATAACCAATAAAAAGGAGCCTCAGCTACAGGAACCTATTTCCTATGAATAGCTAGATTAAATAAGAAAAAAAAAAAGACTCAAATAAATAAAATCTAAAATGAAAGAAGAAATATTACAACAGAAGGCACAGAAATTAAAAGGATTTTGAGACTATTATGAACAGTGATACTCCAACAAGTTGGATAACCTAGAAAAAATGGATAAATTCCTAGAAACATATAACCTACCAAGACTGAACCATGAAGAGATAGAAAATCTGAACAGACCTATAACTAGTAAGGAGATCAATCAGTAATCAAGAACCTCTCAACAAAGAAAAGCCCAGGATCAAATGGCTTCAAATGGCTAGTGAATTATACGAAAGATTTAAAAAGAATTAACTCCAGTTCTCTTCAAACTTTTCCGAAAAATTGAAGCAGGAGAAGCACTTACAAACTTTATGAGGCCAGTGGTAGCTTGACACTAAAGCTAGAAAAAGACTGCAAGAAAACTACAGAACGATATTACCGATGAAAATAGGTGCAAAATTCTCAACAAAATACTAGCAAACTGAATTCGACAGCATATTACAAAGACCACACACCATGACAACCACGTGGGATTTATCCCTGGAGTGCAAGAATGGTTCAACATATGAAAACAATCAATGTGATAGGTTAACAGAACGAAAGATAGAATTCACATGATTGTTGCAAAGATGCAGCAAAAGCATTTGACAAAATTCAACACCTTTTCAACAAACTAGGCATAATAAGGGCCATGTATGAAAAGCCCATAGCTAACATCAAACTTAGTGGTGAGAAACTGAAAGCTTTCCTCTAAGATCAAGAGCAAGACAAGGATGCCTGCTCTTGCCACTTCTAATCAACATAGTACTGGAAATATTAACGAGAGCACTCAGACCAGGAAAAGAAATAAACAGCATCCAAATTGGAAAAGAAGATGTAAGATTATATCTATTTGCAGATTACATGATCTTATATGTAGAAAACCCCAAAGATCTTATATGTAGAAAACCCTAAAATAACCTGTTTGAACTAATTAATGAATTCAACCAAATTGCAGGATACAAAATCAACATTCAAAAATCAATTGTATTTCTATACATGAATAACGAATCATTTGAAGAGGAAATTAAGAAAACAGTCCCATTAACAATAGCCTCAAGAAAAAAAAAAACTAAAAACTTAGGAATAAACCAAGGAGGCAAAAGACTTGTACATTGAAAAAATAAACAAGAAAATAATCTAATTATATGCCTGTTTTTCTACTCTAAAAAATGCAAAGTCAATGTAGAGCCTTGAGATTCCTGAATTATTGGCCATGTTTCCTGGAAAGCAGCAATTAACATCCTTTTTATGTGTGTTTGTTCTGACATGTCACACATGAAGGATACGATTACATATTGAACTCATTTCCAGATGATTGTTCTGTTTATAAATGTCAACGTAGATAATGCTGGCAGAGGGTGATGTGCAGTTCTTGAGGATTCGAGCAATAACTATGCCTCTTTACTCCCTTAAAGAAAGCACATTGGGAAGTTAAACAAGAACAAGCCCTGTTGGTCTATGAATAACTTCTAATATATACTTAATTTTGTTCTACATCATATGCTGTATTGTAAGTAGTTAAGAGTAAGAGCTGGGCTGAAAGACAACTGGCCTGGACTTCTAAAAAATGTCAGTGTTATTAAAAACCTAAAGAGCAGGAGAGCTGTTACAGATTAAAGAAGACTAAAATCCACGAAAACGAAATGCAATATGTGATTCTTAATATACTAGATTTTTAAAAATTATAAAGAACATTATTGGGACAATTGGGAATTTTGAGTGTGGAGTGTATATTAGTTAATAGTACTATATAAGTATAAAATTTATTGGGAGTGATAATATTTTTATAATTATATAGGAGAATGTGTTTGTTCTAAGAAGATATATGCTTTAGGGATAAAGTATCTTAATTGCTTATTTTCAACAAAAATGTGTGTGTGTATATATGTATAAAGTATATATAATATAGCTAATATTATATATGCATGTAATTTTTTTAGAGAGAGGATGCAATAAAGCACGTGTTGCAAAATGATAGCCATGGGCGAATCCAGTGAAAATATTATGGATATTCATCTTACTATTCTTTCAGTTTTTCTGAAGATTTACAGTTTTTCAAAATAAAAAGTAGTTTGAGAAAAAAGAGCAAGGGCTACGGAATTTAGACTGTCTTGTTTGAATCCTGAAACTGCCAACTACAGGCTGTGTGATCTTGGACAAGATGCTCAGCTCTTATTTCCATTTCTTCTATAAAGAGAGTATAATAATAGTTCCTCTCTCATAGAGTAGCCACAAAGGTTAAATAATATTATACATATGAATTAACTATTATTAATTATAAACTTGGAACTTTAATCCTTCATAGAAACAAATTATTTAGGTGATACATCGTAACTGACTTCTCCTGGTGGATTATGTCTGTGTAGGGTAGAGCACCTGCTACATAGGGCTCATGGAATAGAACCTGAGTGTTCCTTCCTAACTGCTAGGCTAATTAAAAAAAAAAATTTTTTTTAATTCCCTAGGAGGCACACAGACTGCTCAAGGCCTCATTGCAATCTCGGATCATCAGCTATGGTAACTACAGTGAGAAAGTGGCTGAAACGTTTTATAACATGGGCAGGATCAGTTTTGCCAAAGGAGACTTCAGACAGGCAATTCATCTGCTAAGGAAGGTGAATACTGGCTGGTTTTGTTAGGGGAAGGGGCGGGGGAGAGATAGAGAGAGAGAGAGACAGAGAGACAGAGAAGGAGTGGGGGAGAGAGAGAGAGACAGACAGACAGACAGACACAGAGACAGACACAGAGACACAGAGACACAGAGACAGAGACAGACAGAGACAGAGAGAGTTTCCTTCCCTCCCCATCCCTCCCCTTTCCTTCCCTTCTCTTCTCTTCCTGTCCATCTCTCTTTACCTCCTTCTTTCTTACAGAGACACAGAGACATAGAGACACAGAGACAGAGACAGACAGAGTCAGAGAGAGTTTCCTTCCCTTCCCATTCCTCCCCTTTCCTTCCCTTCTCTTCCCTTCCTGTCCATCTCTCTTTACCTCCTTCTTTCTTACTCTTTTTTTTTTTTAATTTAAAGTATTCTCTTTTGAAAAGTTTTCACTTTCTCGGATGTGCTGAGGGAGAGAACATGATACAGAAATTTTTGTTGTGTCCATACCTGGACCAGAGTCTTAAAAGAGTAACACTCAGTCTTAGAATCTAGCTATGACAGTGGCAGAATCTTGTCGAAAGCACCCAAGGTTGGGTAGAATCAGGAACACCTGACATAGCCATCCTTACTCAAGCACTGATCCCCCTTCCAGGGGTCAGACAACCCTGGAAGTTTATTCCTTAGTAGTAGGATGTGGCAAGAGGTGTGACCAAACAGTTGTTCAACCAGTCAACCAGGATACTGATAGACCAAAGCTAAAGGTTAGGTAAGATCAGTAGCGATATCTCTAAACAAAACTCATATAGAGGAAAAGTTAGTAAAGAGCAACCAATATTCAAGTGAGCAGAGGGTGGAGTCAAAAGCAGTTGACACATATACGTTGGCAAACATCAGGTCTGGAGAAATTTTTATCTCATTTCAAGTTAACTAACTGTAATCAGAAAATAAGTATGAAAATAAGTATGAAAATAGTGAATAACAGGAGAAAGGGGACTTCATTTTGAAGATGCAGAAAAAAATAAAACCTTACGAATATAAGTTATAGGAACCAGACTGGCTTCTTCAAGGGAAGCATGAACATATAGATGGCATCTATGTGATGGGACCAGAAACCTGTCAGGAGAGAAAACTTTAAAATGAAAGGATGACAGTCTGAGACCAAAAGTTGAGATGACATTAAAATGCTGAGTGAAATAAGAAGAACTTTCAGAGAAACAACAAATCTAATAAAATTCAAATCCACACTGAAAATAGAGAAGGGAGTCTTAACATATTGTAGTGATGTTGAGCAATATTTCCCAAATCTGGAATTGTAATAGTCAGCAAAAATAAATAAATAAATAATGAATGAAAAAACTAAAACAAACAAAAAAAAACTTGACAAACATGAAAAACTCTCCTAGAATGCAAAGGAAAAGGAAAGAGGGATCTAATAAAGTATTGTATGTATTTCCAAAGAATAGTATGTATTTCTGAAGAAGAGCTATAATACTTGGAATAGAAACAATATTCAAAAATATCATTGAAGACAACTTTCCTGAAATGGCAAAAGACTCCAGCATATACCTTGTAAGGTACTACCTTATTCCACACAAAATCAATGAAAGAAGAGCCTCGTTTAGGTTTTTACTTGGCAATGAATGTTCGATGGAATGGCTACAGCCTTCATTTGAAATAGGAATTCAACTTGGATATTTAGGATATTGTAGGGGTAAGGAGGGACTGCATCTTTGTTGATCAGCTTTTATCCTTAGGGCTTTAGACAGCCCTATTCCAACATCCCAGTTCAGAAAGGAGGAAAGGAATTGAAAGGCATCTTGACAGTAGGGCTGTTGTTTCAAGGTCAGAACACAATCCTCATACTGGATATTCACTAGCAATAGGATGCTGGTGATGAAGTTTCTGTAATAGACTATGCTAATAGATGCCATTTTGGGGTTTGAAATCTGCTCCTGAAGCAAAAGTTGTTGCAGTGAAACCATTACCACAATCAAGATAATGTCAGTCACCCCCAAAAGCTTCTTCATCCTCATTTGTAATTAATTACAATTCTATCCCTCTAATAGGTATGGCTTATTACATACCTATTAGAGGGGTAGAATTGTAATTAATGGGATAGAATTGTAATTAATGGCATATTACATACCTATTAGAGGGGTAGAATTGTAATGGTATATTATTATGGTTTTAATTTATGTTTTCTTTGAGCATATTTTTCATGCACTTATTCATCTGTACATGTTCTTTGGTGAAGTGTCTGTCTAAATCTTTTGCCCATTTTAAATTTGTTGTTTGATTTCATGTGATTGACTTCTCAATTTCTTATATTTTCTAGATATAGGTTCCTTATTAGATATATGATTTGCAAATATTTTCTCTCTACCTATAGTTTGTCTTTTTATAGTATCTTATGAAGAGCAGAAGTTTTAAAATTTAATGAAATTCAATTTGTCAATTTGTTTTTTTATGGATTACATTTTTGGTGTTTTATCAAAGAAATCTTTGCCTAACCCAAGCAGAAAGATTTTTCTCCTGTATTTTCTTCTAGATTTTTTTTATAGTTTTAGGTTTAACATTTAGGTCTATAATCCATTCAAGTTAATTTTCCTTTATGGTACAAGAAATGGATCCCAGTTTATTTGCTTTTTGCATATGAACATCCAGTTGTTCTCTATCATTTTTATTGAAAGGATATTCCTTTCTCTACTTACTTACCTTTGTACCTTTGTCGAAAATCGACGTGTGTGTATGCATGATTATTTATGGACTCTCTTCTGTTCCATTGATCTGTTTGTCTATCTTTATGTCAATATCATACTGTGTTGATTAGTATAGTTTTAAAGCAAGTCTTGAAATCAGGTAGTCTTAGTCCTTCAACTTTGTTCTTCTTTTTCAATGTTGTTCTTTGTGTTTCCATAAGAATTTTAGACTCACTATATCAGTTTCTACAAAAGACCTGCTGGGATTTTGATTGGTATTATGTTGACTGTATAGATCAGTTTAGGGCAATTAGACATCTTAACAATATTGAGTCTTCTCACCCATGAACACATTGTGTCATTCCATTTGTGTAGATCATCTTTAATTTCTCCCAGTAATATTTTATAGTTTTCAATGTATAGGTCTTGTGCATATTATCTTATATTCATTCATAATTATTTCATGTTTTGGATATTATTTTAAATGTATCATTTTGGAATTTCAAATTCTGATTGATTGATGCTAGTATATAGAAATACAATTGATATTTTAATATAATAATATTGTATTCCATGACCTCGCTAAGCTCACTTGTTAGTTCTAGTAGCTGTTTTATAGATTCCACCAGATTTGCTACATAGATGATCATGTCATCTGCAAATAAAGCTTTACTTTTTCATCTCAATTTGGATGCCTTGTATTTCTTTTTCTTGACTTATTGCACTGGCTAGAACATCTAGTACAATGTTGAATAGAAGTGGTGAGAATAGGCATCCTTGTCTAATTCCTGTTTTCAGGGGAAAAGAATTTAGTCTTTCATCATTAGGTTTGTTGTTAGCTGTAGATTTTTTTGTAGAGACTCTTTATCAGATTGAGGAAGTTTCCTTCTACTCTTGGTTTGCTGAGAATTTTTTTTTTTAAATTAGGAATGGACGTCGGCAATTGTAAACTTTTTTCTGTACGTATTGATATAATCTATGATTTTTCTTTATGGATAATTTCTGTTACTGTGCCTTCATGTTAACTAATTTTTTATTCTCCAATGTCAAACTTGATCTTAATCTCATCTAGTATATTTTTCCTATCAAACATTGTAATTTTCATTTCCAGAAGTTTGATTTGGGTCTTTAAAATTTTTTTCAGCTCTCCACTTACCTTTTTTTTTTAAACACATGGAATAAAGTTAAAAATAATAGTTTTAGTATACTTCTCTGCTGAGTCTAATACCTGTGTCAGTTTTGAGTTGATTTCAACTGATTTTTCTTATTATGGATCACATTTTTCTTCTTCTCTGCATGCTTTGTAATATTTGTTTAGATGCCAGACACTGTATATTTTAACTTGTTGAATGTTGACTATTTCTGCATTCCTATAAGTATTCTTAAACTTTGTTCTGAAATACAGTTAAATTACAGTTTGGTTCTTTCAGGTTTAGATCTTCCTTTTAAGACTAGAGCAGCATTTAGTCAAGGGCTAATTATGCTCTATTACTGAGGCAAAGCCTTCTGAGTACCCTAATCCAAAGTTCTCTGAACAGTGAGGCTTTCCAGTGTGGCTAGTGAGAACAGGCCCTATGCCTGGCCCTGGGTAAGCTCTGGGGCACTGTTCTGTCCAGTCCTTTCAGATGATTCTCTCAATTTTTTCACATATATATGCTAATCGGCACTCTGCTGAATACTCGGCCCACTGCAGACATTCCTGGCTCTTTTCTGTGCAGCTATTCAGTCTCTGTTACTCTGCCCTGAGAGTCTCGTTGGACTCTCAGCTCTATACTCTCAATTCAGGGAATCTCCTGAGCTCCAACTCTGTTCCCTTCCCTGCGTCATGGCCTAGGACCACAATCGAAGCAGTAATCTGGGACAATCATAAAATTTCTCTCACTTGTTTACCCTCTCTCAGGGATCACTGTCGTTTGCTGCCTTATAGTCAGTGTTTTGAAGATCATTTTATATATTTTGTCTACTTTTTCTTTTTTGGGGTTGTTTCAGGTGGGAGGATAAATCTGGTCCCTGCTATACCACCTTAATTGCAAAGAGAGATCAGCAACAAAATTTACAGTGGAAAACTGCCTAAGAGTAAAGTGATATAGCATTAAAATTTGAGACACAACACTGATTTCATTTTTATCCATCCATTTAGTTACAGCTATTTGGAAAATTCTGATGGAAACCACACTGCAGCCATGTTTTAAGTAAGGATGCTGTCAGTTTTGAGCCCTGTTACTTTGGTTATCCACAGCCACATATGGCAGTGGTAGGTGCAGTGAAGTGGAATAATGTACATACAGTATGAGGGGCACAGAGCTGCCTTCAATTCAGACTCCATTTCTTCCTTGTGAGGGAACTGGGAGGAAACGTACAAGCATTTCAAATGCAAACTTGTGACATCTCAGTCCCACTGGTGCTCTCCTGAGTTTGGTTTATAATTAAGGTGCTTGCGATCTCTTTAACCTATTAATATTTCTCAACTTGCCTACAGTGTCTGATGATTCAAATCCTTTTATATGGAAGTGAGCACAGTAAAAGCCGAGACACTAAAAACATCCTTACCCTAGTGCAGAGGTGAGTTCTAACCCTGGCCATCAACTAGGTTGTGTGGAAATGTGGATAGCTTGGTCTCTCCCAGATTTATTCAGTTAGGGGTGATTCACCTCTGTTATTATTGTTGGTAAGGCAAAATGCTAACCTGTACTATGGATTTGGCCAAATCCTATAGTGGAGGTAACTAGTCAATTTCCGGTAGTCTCCCAGAACTCAATGTTATAGTAATTAGCTGTAATAATAGTTAGTATTTATAATATCTCTTTCAATGCTGAGCATTATAACCAAATCCTACAAGATTGTGTCTCAGCTGACAGCCTGCGACAGATACAATGTGGATACGTTAAACTTAGTTTCTTGCTGAATAAACATGATCTATGTCAGTAAACATAAGGCGAGTTTTTTGTTTGTTTGTTGTTTGTTTTTTGTTTTTGTTTTTTTTTTTGGTTGGAGGGATATAGTTGTCTCCAAAGTTAGTAATAAAAGAGCCTCTTCAGATTGTTTTTTAAATGTTTAGAATTTAAGCCAAAGAGAGTGTTTTGTGCACACTTGCCCCCTTCTTTATCCTTGGCATATCATTGCTGTTTGTTCATCTCAGAATGATGTCGACTTTGAATTCTTCTCTACTAAGAAAGAAGAGAATTAAAATTTGTTGAGTGTATACTAAACATCTGAAACTGAGCGAGGTCCTGTGCATAAAGTGTTTGATCCTCACAAATATCCAATGTGACAGCTGTCATTTGACAGAAGGGAGCCTGATGCTCTGTAAAGGAACTTGCCTAAATTCACTTAGTCTTGGAGGTTTGGACCCAAACAAATGTGATTGTAAAGGTCATGTGCTTTTCCCTTAGAGCTCTCTTATAAAGAGGGGCATCGTTATAGGGTAAGAATTAGGACCCTGACTGCAGTTAACTAGAGGTGGCTCAAAATTGACCTTTCTAACCAGATTGAACAAGTGGGGGACAAAATGAGCATCGAGATTTATGCAGCACATCTTGTCCCCACCCACTTCAGTCAGAGTCACACCTAAAGCAGTCCAACCGAAGACTGTCATTCGTTTTATCATTATCCAGAATAGAAGGTTCTCTAGCCTCTCTCAGTAATATTCATTTTAGGAGAGTATATGGGGAACTTTGCCCCCTGCCTGCTAGCATATGTGAAAGTATATGTTTTTGAACTGTAACCATAAAATATTAATAATAAATATAATGCAGAACTTCCAGTTTCTTGGCATCATATTACATATTTACATATACTATTTCTGATCCATAAATAACCCTATTTGGTGGATATTTTTATTGCCCGTGTTCAGATGATGAAACTGAGACTCAGAAAGTTTGAGTATTTTGTTTAAAATCACCTTCTGGTAAGTGTAGTAAGATTTGAACCCAGCTCTATCTTATTTTAAAAATGCACTTTCCTTTCCTAGATGATAGGGATTCTGACTTTGATGAATGAGGGAATACACATGTGGAATACAGTAGGTAGGTCTCCAGAGCCTCATTTTACATATGGGGGGCTGAAGACTGGTATATTCAAGCTGAGATTTGAACCTAGGCCTCTAACTCCAGAATGTCCTCTTTGTGGGCACTGTAGCTTAGTGATGGCAGACTGTCTGGATTTAAAATCAGGCTTGGACACTCAGTTCTCTGACCCAGGTGAAGTTATTTAACCTCCTTCAGCCATTAGTTATTCATTAATAAAATAACAGTACCTTCCTCAAAAAGTGGATTTTCTGAGAAATTAATGAGATCACACATAATACAGCTGGTCTTAAATGCTGAATGAACGTTGGCATAATAATACAATTTACTATCTTTCTGAGATGCCAGAGATAATAAGTCAGAATGTTTAAGTAAGAAGCTTCTGTGTTTCACTCCAACTATTATTATTTTATATTAAAAATGATGGATAAAGAGTATGCGTTACTGGAGGCAGCCCTGTCATCTACACCTGTCTCTGAGACTAAGTATGTGACCTTATGTAAATCACTTAACCTCCTTAAGCCTTGCTTTCTCCATCATTAGTATACCACATAGAGTCTTTGTGGTTTTTAAATTAAACAATGTATATAACATGCGGAAGGCGGTGCCTGGCAGAGTACGTGCTCAGTAAACGTTACCAGATGCCCTGACCTCCCTCTTCTGCAGCACACTGCCTTTTGCTTCTAGGGAAATAGGTCAGAACATCCGAAATCAGGGATCACTGTTTGTTAGGCAGTAGTACCATACGCTGTATGTTTGAGAATTAGATTGAGAATTTGAACAGATCCAAAGTACATTTTGTGCTTTGAAGGTAACCATAATGAAACTAAAAGAATGAAACATGTAATTTCAGGGGAGAAATGCCTGATGTTTCCTCAAAACTGGAACAAAAGTTCTACTGACCTTGTGTTTAAAAAGAGAAAGCAAAGAATAGTTGGAGCGAATCTATTCCCTCAGTAGCCAGAGTTTGCTTTTCTTTTTAGTCTTTAACTATTCCTTGTCCATGATTTGAAAAGAATCATGGGAGGAGGAGAAATTAGAAGGCATGGGTATAACCTGGTTCAAACCCCAGGTGGCCTGAGTTCCTTTCGGTGCCTGGAGACTAATTCTTCTTTCTGTTAATGATAATGAAACCTAGACCTACCATAGAAGTCCATGTACAGGGAAGAGAAAAGGCTTTTGAAGGACTCTACTGTAGCAGGAATCGAGTCAATAAAAGCTTTTCTTTCCCTGAAACAAGCCCATATCTCATTCCTCAAGAACTGCTGAGCAAAGCTGTAGGAGCAACTGCCAAAGCCCAAATGTCAAAAATAAAAAAAAAAAAAATTCCAGTGTAAGAATTGTTCTCTTTGCTTCAGCATCTCGCTGGAATAATCCATCCCAGATGTTCTGGACCTCTGCTAGTTTTCTGGTGTGCCCTTGTGCTTTTTACCCCACCTTCTCTGGAAAGGCAGCAACAGCACTCGCTGGACTGTCATTGCTAGGAGCCCAAATCGGAAGCCTCTGCGAAAGGAGGGAAAGCAGAACTGGCCTCTGGAAATAGGAGTTAATGCCCGGGTTAAATGATAGTTGCAAGGGCCTCGAGTAAGATTTTGGTGTGTAGAAAAGGCACAGAAAATCTCGGATTTGGAAGTAAATTTTGAGGTGGTTTTGTCTAACTTTTATCTAAATCACTGATGTGTACTTAATCATGTACATAACCAAGCTCCTTCTAAGCACTAGAGATACTAATGTGTTTAAGATATAGTCCTTTCAGGAAAACAGACACCCATGACCAGTTTACAAGTTAGTCTGTAGTAAAGCTTTAATAGAAGTGTAAACAAAGAGGACAAGTAATAAATTGTGAGGCTGGAAATGTGAGTGGAAACTGTGTGTACGGCTGGGGGCAGGGTGCTGGGTCTTCAAAGAAAAGTAGACGATCAGCAGGTAGAAAAGAAGCCAGAAGAGGGCATTGCAAGTAGCACAAACAGAAGCACAGTGGCATGGAGACACCTGCTATCTCTGAGGAAAAGCAAGTGGCCTTGAGTGGTTGCAGTTTAGGTACATGAGTGGGAACATGCTGAAGATGAATTTGGAAAGAAATTGGGGCCAGATTATGTGCCATGCTAAGGACTTTAGAGTTTATTCACTAGACAGAAGGCAGTTATCCAAGAATTTTGAGCGGGATGCGACATGATCAACTATTGGCTTTAGAACATTAACTCTAACAGCAATGGAGGAAGAATAGATTTTAGGGATCTAAGGAGAAGAGTTAGGAGGTAAATACTATAGTCTGAGAGAATGATGTTGAGAGCCTTAATTATCTAAAGCCACAGTAGAAGGGATGTGGAGAGGATGGATTGGAAAACAGTTTGGAGTCTGTAGCAACAAGACCTTGGAACCAATGAAATGAGGAGTAATGGCGTCAAAGGTGGTTTGATGTTGCTAGGTTGGGCAACTGGGTGAATGGCAGTGCTATTAAGTGAGATCGTAGTGGCAGGAGATCATCCGGAGGATGTTGAGGGGGTCTGAGGAAGATAATGATTTACATTTTAGAGGTGTTAAGTTTGAGTTACCCGCAGTACATATACTTGGTAATATCTAATGGGCTGTATGGACCAAGAGCTCAAGATAGATTGATTCTGAAGTTAAGGGAATGGATAAAAAACCCATGGACTATGTGTATGTGACACAAGGAGGCTTAGGAAAGAACTTTAGAGAACACGTCTTATTTGGGAGAGAATATATGTGGTGATTTGGAATCAAAACAGGGCCCAAATCTGAACTTTCCCACTGACGGTGAGATACACTGTATCTGTCTTTCTTCATCTAAAAAACTGTGAATAATTTTTTTCACGTGCTATTATAAGTGCTTTACGTAATGTATGACACATAGTAAGCTTATGTGAAATGTTAATTCTTCTAATTATTGTATCGTTGTCATCTTATCTAGGGACCATGCAGAAGGAGGAACAGAGAGACTCAGAAAGAGTCTTTAGAGAATTAGGAGAGTCAGAAAAGCAGAGAGAGGAACTCATAGGAGGAGAAAGTTTCAGAGGAGTGGTCGATCTCACTGTCACAAAAGACGTGAAGGGGCAGTTCGAAGAAGAGATGCAAATGGTTAATACACACCAACTAGGATATCAAACCTCAATCAGAATTTAAAAATTCAAAGCACGAAATACTACTTCTAACCTATTGTATTGGTGGTAATGAAAAATACAGGTAGTACATACTCGGTTCTGTCAAAGGCATGAGGAGACGAACCCTCTCAGTACTCTGTTGATGGGACTGTTTGTCGATACTCCTTTTCGGTGGGCATTTTGGCACAAGTTAACAGAGTGTTTAAAAGTGTGTGTCCGTTGACTCTGAAGTAGCACTTTTAGGAATCTGTCTTTTGAAAAACTTACACAAGTGCATACACACACACATATGTCTTCCTTGTAGATTTTTTTATGATAGCGGAACAGTTGAAAAAACTCAAATGTCAACCAGTAGAAATACGGATGTGTTTATTGTCCATTTAATAAGGTTCATGTTCATGACCATATAATATAGTCATTCAAGAGCATGAAGTAGAGCTTGGAAGAGTCAAGGAAAATATTGCAGATAGTACCCCTACATATTGTTAGGGGTAAAAATATGAAAAAAAAAATTAGTGAGCATTATATATGGTATAATCCACAAATATATGAAAATATGTAGTTAGTGAAGATAACAGTAATTCTCTGGGACACGGGAATATGAGAGACTTTCAACTTTCCTTAATATATTTCTGTGTTACATGACCTTTTTTATAACAAATATATATTTTATCTCTGATAAAAAGATGGATTTTTAAAAAGAGTATGGCACATGTATCAAATATTAAGAGACACTACAATGTAGAGCTAAGAAAATGATTTAAAGCCAGATGATTGGGTTATAGTCCCAGCTCTGTTATTTATTTGCAGTGTGACCCTGGACAAGTCACTTTACTTTTCAGTTTCCTCATTTATAAAATGGGGATAATAATACCTGTTTCATAGGGTTGTTGTGAGTAAATGAGTTAATGTAAGTAATACTGCTCAGATAGCTGCCTGACACATAGTAATTGCTAATTAGAAATGATGATGTTGATGTGAAGAGAATGGGGACTAATAAGAAGCTATTCTACTGGCGAATAGAAAACCACCACTGATACAGAGTGAGCTTTTTTGGTAGAGCCGATTTTAAGTGAATACTATTTGTTCAATTCCTGATTAAATACCTCCCCGAAGCATTACCTGCCAACGTGGCCCCTTCCGTTACTGGACAGTTCTAATTGTTAGAAGGATATAGTCAAGGTCGTGGACTTCAGAGTCAGATCTGTATTTGAATCCAGACTGTGCCACCTTCTATATGCCAGTAGGCAAGTTATCCTAAGCCTCAGTTTTCTCTAATGAGGCTTAGAATGGTATCTATAGTATGAAAACATAGTGAAGAGTACATGAGATTATTAACAAAAAGCATTAGCACACTATCTGGTATAGGGTTCAGTGCTCAATAAATATTAGCTATTTTTTACATTCTAGCTAGTCATCCAAATTTGTTGAAAATAGAAAAGCGTCCTTGTCCATGTTATACATCTCTAGGACCGCTACATCCGAGAAAGTTATTTTGGTATAAATTATGATGGGTCTTGAGCTGTAGAAGCTAACAGCAGCAAGAAAAACCATACTTTTCTCTTTCCAGGAGGGGCGAGAGGGAAGGTGCCTCAAAGCCCATTAATCTTTTAGTGATCTACTATCCTCTTGGTCACAGAACAGCCTCTTCTGAGCCAAGGGGCTGAGGAGGGAAAAGCAAAGAAAAGTGGGACGGAAGTGGAGGATTTGGGGTGATGAGCTCCAGAGATTACTGCAGCAAGTAAAAGGAGAACGGGTGGTATGCTCCATGAGTTTTGTGTCAGCCAAACCAGTCTTAGGCAAGACCTTGGTGATCAAATATTTATGCTCCATAAGCTGGATTGTTTCTAGGCTGCTGTGTTTGTAGGCTTTCCCTATCATTTATTTGTAAATATTCCAATACTGCCTCTACAAAATTAAAGGGGAAAATATTTGAGCAAACCTTGGCATATGAATGGGTGGGAAGCACAATGTGCTCTAGCATCCATGTGCCAAGGGGCAGCAGCTTTTCCAAATCAGGATTTAGGAATAACCGGAGGCATTGGGGCAGATACAGATAAATTTAGGAGCCTTTAGCTCCCCACTTTAGGGTCTCCCTGAAGGTGAACTGAGGTTGTTAAGCCAGCCAGAGCCAGTTCAGGGTGGCTTGTCTTTAGCAGAGCAGTGGGGGAACTCTACAGTCAACAGCCACTCTGCCATGCCCCATGCCCACAAGAATGGTTTGCTAGGAAGGCATTGTGGAGTAGGACAAGGAGAGCAGATATACATCATCTCATGGGCCCGTGCTGTTGGTAGTTTCCTAGAGTGATGCTTGCAGTTCCAGAGCAAAAGGCTGGGCTTGGTGGAGCTTGATTTGTTAGTATTGTCTGCCAAGGGGTATGGATGGCCAGAAAGCTGAACTTCTGCCATGAATTTGCCATTCGGGCATAGTGGCAAGAGCAGTGTCCTCTGAGTCAAGGCACCTTGTATGTGAATCCCAATTCTGCTGTGAGATAGCCATGCGACCTTAAGTTGCTTAAACAGTCTGAGCCTCAGTTTCCTCATCTTCATTCATTCCTTCAACAAACATGTAGCGAGCACCTACTAAGTGCCAGTCGGAGCTACAGGTGTTAATAAAGAGAAATAAAACATGGTCATTACTCTTAAGGAAACAATCTAGTGTGAGAGACCAACAAGAAAATATCATGAAAAAGTATGAGTTCTGCAGTAGAAGTCTCAGTGCAATGAGAACGGGAAGGAGAGACAATCTGTGAAAGCTGGGAAAGACGTCATGGAGAGGGTTACATTTGAACTGTTTCTTGAAGGGCGAGTAACAGCTCATCCAGATGGAAAAGAGAAGGAAGAAGGGACTCCAAGTGCAAAGTGACAGAGGCATGACAGAGGGCAGTGTGTCGACAGAATGGTGAGTCCTTTGTGGCCGTCTAACACACCCTAAAGGGTATTGCA